ACTTGTTTATTTCCATCTTCGTATTTTACCCTGAAACCAAAGTGTTCCCAAACGGAGGACTGTTTGCGGGTGGGTCTTCAGGTTCGTCAGGCTCACTTGCCATGTTGTCAAAATGCGAGAATGCGCTGCACAAAGTGAAAGCGGAGATTTATGGGACTCGGTCCGTCACTCAATTATGTCCGTCGGGGAACTAGATATTTTAAATGGTTCGGCTTGCAAAAACGGAATTAAAATAAAACAAAATAAAATAAAATAATATCCTGCGCCCAATAATTCGGTACAGGGTCATGCTGAACCAAAAGTCGCGTACCGAACGGTTCGACACAAATACATGTATCGTTACGGCCCTAGCATCTACTCATGGATGAGAGGCTTGCACTTGTGACAGCACAAGATGTAAAGATTGATGGCATTCTCCTTGGCTAGGCTGTAACATCAGCTAGTTCAGTGGTGCTAGGTGAGCTAGCAGTAGATGCACTCTTCCTCCTGCAAGGTGATACGGTTGGTGGGGGTAGTTCAGTAGAAGGAAAGTAGATCCGACATGACACTGCTCACAACAAGGTCTGTGGATTATCCTGAGTAACCAGGTCATGATTTCTAGAAAGAGACATTGCTGTTGAGTTTTTCAAATGTATTTTTTGGCACTTTGAGCACCACAAGCCGAATGCCATCTAGTTCCATTATACTGGGGAGAAGGCAGACATCTCTACAGCCGATACCTCTAACACTCTGCAACTCACACCAACACAACCTAGATTGATAACTAGCACTATGGGTAAGAGGCAAATATATATATATATATTTGATTTTGGGTGAACTGTCCCTTTAAACCAAGTTTTTTTCCGTTTTAACGTGACATCACAGAGAGGTTGCTGAAAATGTAGGTGAGTTCACCAAGCCCTCCCTGAATATCCTAGAGTTAAAAAAAAAGTAGTTTTCGCTAAGGCTCCAGTGACAGCCTCAGCCAGTGCAGTCCTCTGCAGCTTAGAACTTCTCCCTCGATTATGCAAAGCAGCGGCTGCCTGCTCAGGACACCTCGAAGCCACTCCGGGAGGTAAAGAGGCTTTTCTTTTTTTTTTTTCTTTTTTTTTTCAAGCGAGAGAGAACACAGAGAGAAAATGATGAATGTCAGAGCTTTTTAAGCTGTCTTTTCTTCTTAAGCTCGCAGAAGCATCTTATGGCCTTAACTCTGTTTCTGCAAGACGTGGCAGCCGGTCGTGACTCTGCGGGTAGATACTGTATAGTCATGACTCGGCTAATTTGGGAAAGTGTAGATTTGGGATCAGCGTGGGTGACCATGCCTGACAGCTTTGTCTGAGTCACTTCGGAGTGTACAGTAGGTTGCATCTGATAGGTGTACATTACAAATTATATGGAAAGCTCATACTGTAAAACACTCTTTGCTTCCACTGTGAACTCAACACTTGAATGCTTTTGATCGGACTTAAAAGGAACAGGTCAACGTTTGGGGGAAATGGGATATTGTCAGAAATGATCTTTAAATAACATCCTTCAACATTACCACCTCCTCCTCTCCCTCTGTCTGTGTCTCCCCAGCATATGCACAAGGCTGTAGAGCTGAAGCAGCAGCTGCAGATAGAGCATGAGCAAGCCTTGGTGGCCCTTCACACCAAGCAGAAGGAGATCAATCAACTGCAAAAGGTACGGCCATATGGATAAAGGCACAAATACAAAATTGGACACTGAAAGCTTTTTTTTTTTTTATACTTTTCACATAACCCCTTCTTTGTCATTGATCTTGTGATGAGAGCAGTGATGAAGTGAAGCTCATCATTCAGTAAATGATGTGTCAGTAGTCAGTTTGTGCTGAATCACTGTCATTGAATCGCTGCTACTGTATCAGAAAATATAAAGACCTCAGAAAGCCGGCCAAAACATCAGCAGATTTTGATTGGAAATGCAGTTTCAGCTTACAACAGCTTTCATATTGTTTGATCGTTGGATGAAGAGCTCCCTGCTAAAAATGCTGCCTTTCTAGTTGTTGATAAATTTAAACACCTTGTGAACATCTTTCAGCGTGCAGATACTCTTTTTTTTCTCTCTGTGTTGTATTCTGCTGTCCTTTTAAGACTGGGATATATTCTTACCCTGTTCAGAAAGTGATCAAATACAACTTCGATGGGCTTTTGATTCTTGTGAGGCTGTTTCAGTGGGTAGGGTGCTAAATTATCTGCCTTACTTTTTTACCAAGCCTGACCCACATTTGTGGCTCAAATTGATGCTTGTATATGGAAATATAAAAGTTTCAAGGTTCTGGATGCAACGTTCAGAGCATAAATAGAGCAGCAGAACACTATTTGCTTTGTAAAGATTAAGTGGAGTGATGGCGTCCAGACAAGAGAATGAAGTCATGCTCCTTCTGTGTGTGTTGTAGTCCGAGCTTCTCTGTAGTTTTAAACCGGTATGGCGGTGCGTGTGCGTCGCTGGTGCTTTGCACTGTGCTCATACTGCCGATATCAGGACGGTATCATTGCAGAAGCATAGCGCCCACCCTCCGGTTCTCCCATGGTTCACACCATTAGCTCTGTCAACAGTGTTGTTTAGCGCAGTGGTTCCCAACTGGTGGGTCGCAGGTCCAAAACTTGGTTACAGGTCCATTCTGAATGGACCGCAAGTGACTCACAAACTTGTCAAACACCCTTTATTTTTGAGTAAAGTGAATTTCCGGCACAGAGCTTTTATTTTGAAGTGCAATTTTCTGCTGTAGAGTGAGTGATTAACAGACAGCTACTTGACAGAGGCAGCATACTAGCTCAATGACATGGCTAAAAACAAGTATGACATTGAATATATTACACTGTGTGGACCTTGAACTAATGACTAAGGAGAAATCTGGACCCCGTGGCCAGACCAGTTGGGAACCCCTTGTTTAGCGTTGTTAATTGACATAGCATTGTTAGCTGCCAGCTGCCGGCTCAGCCACCTCCATGTTGAGAACCATGTGCAAACAACTAATACACTCGGAATTTTACACAGAGTCTCTTTAAGAGTTAAACACACCCAATCACCGTTATACATTTTTAGCCTACATTTTTAATTGTTAAATGGACAAATATTTAATTTTAAAAGTTGAATTTCCTTTCGCAGCCTTATTTCCTGTTAATAGTTTATACATGATACAAAGATAAAGCAAAATGGCTATTCAAAATCTTCTTATTAAAATAACTGATTGGTAATATTCTCAGACTACCCACTGGATTAGACCACTCAGGCTTGATATGGTCCTAAAGGAGCTGAATAATTCCTCAGACTTTTTCTGTCAGTTGTTGGTTCAAAGAGAAACAAACACACAAAAATGTATCACTAATACATTTAAGCACTGGCTAAGTAATTTGTACAATTACACAAAAACATTTTCAGTGTTTGAAACTATGCTTTTACATCTGCTGCCAGCCTCTATGCAGACGCTAACTCTAAAATAAATCACTTACTGTTTATCAGAGCCGTGCCGTCAGGAGTAAGCATCTCTTCAAGTACTAGTGCTGTGATCAACCAGTGAGCCTCTGCCTGGGTATTGGGTTGACAGTATGTCAGCTGTGCGCTGTCTATTCGACCTCATGGACTGTGATCACAGTGTCAGCTGTCACTGTGTGTTTCTGTGTGTTCGCTACAAGCTCAGGTTCAAGCTGACCAAGAGCATGAGGAAGCGGTGCACCTGTTAGAGGTACAGTACCTTGAATAAACACAGATCTTTAGCCAGCTTTACCTCAGTGTTAGACAAGAGACAACCTCCAGGGCTGAAAAATGAAGCCAGTGCAGAGGTGCCTAAAACTGCAGTTCCTTGAATGGCCACTTGAGGCTGGCTCTAAAAGTGAGTCATTCCCCATAGACCTCAATGTTAAAATGCCCAACTTTACAGCAGAAATAAACACATTTACAGCCTGATTTTTTTTTTAAAAAAAAAGAAAAAAAGAAAACAATTTTTGGTCTCTTTAGCTAATTTCTTTACTCATGACAACTGTCTGGGAGATGTATTTTTATATGTCACCCATTCACATTATATTAAGGCTTAAAGTTATGCAAGGGGCTGCTTTGAGTGACAGGCTGTGTTCAGAGAGTGTACTCAGGCTCTCGGTCAAATCCACTCCTCACTCCTCAACAGCTTCACCCTCTGTCCAAATATGGTCATTTCTGGCTTTCTGGCTGTTACCTCTCTTAAACATATTTTAGATCTATTTTAAAATGATGAAATAAAACAAAAAATTATTTGGATGTTTCATGTTATATTGGACAGTTGTGAAATAAGGAAAGAACTATAATAAAAAATCCATAGAATTTTAGTGTAGTTAAACTGAAAAATGCCACAAATGTACTTTGTTTGTACCTATAACTTCATTTTATCTGTAACATGAAAAGCAACCTGATATTGTAAAGGCCCTGCACCACTGAAACAGGTGTTTTCAATTCCTTTGGCTAATTGCACCTCTGCTGGGAATTAACCACTCGTTAAGCCCTGCCCTCCTTAGCTGCTGTTGCTATGCCTGTCAAGCTTTCTGTTATTTTACAACATAATGAGGCCCAGATACACCAGTTGAAATTTGAAGGAGTTTTTGAAACAACATGTCCTTGATTTCAGATAGAGGTAGACAAAAGCAGGCTTCTCAGTTCTTATTGTCTTCGGCAAATGATAACTTTGGCCGGCAGCATGTCCCAGTAAAACAGAGCATCCTTACCAGTTCATGAACCAAGAAGAAGACAGGTAAATAAAGAAACGGCATTCTAAAAAGCTACTTAGACCCAAATATTTTAAGTATGGTTTGGAAAAATGTTAGATGAAAGTAAAATGTAGTTCCCCTGTAAAAGGGACTGTTTACCTCAAAATCAAATATACATATTCTTCCTCTTACCTGTCGTGCTATTTATCAGTCTAGATTGTTTTGGCGTGAGTTGCTGAGTGTTGTAGATATCAGCCATAGAGATGTCTGCCTTCTCTCCAATATAATGGACCTAGATAGCACTCAGCTTGTGGTGCTCAAAGTGCCAAAAAATACATTTAAAAAAGTCAACAGTAATGTCTCTTTCCAAAATGTATGACCTGGTCACTAAAGATAATCCACAGACCTTGTTGTGAGCATTTTCATGTAGGGACTATTTTCTCTCTGCTAAACTACACCGGCCAACCATATCACTGGGCAGAAGGAAGTGTGCATCTACTGCTAGCTCACCACTGAGCTAGCTAACATTACAGCTTAGCCAAGTAGGACGCCATTAATGTTTATATCTCACTGTGACAAGCCTCTCATCCATGAGTAGATGCATACTTCCTTCTGTGCGGTGATTCGGTTAATTTGTGTGGTTAATTGGTTGAAGGAAAGTAGGTTCTACCCATTCGCCAACCATATAACTGTGCAGAAAACAGAGGCTTATGCTTATGCTTGTGGCAGCGTGAGGTGTAAAAAATAATGGCATCCTCCTTGGCTGAATCCACTTTCCTTTGCTCTGGTAGACTGTGGAAAAATAGCACAGTGATACAGTTGGTGGGTTTGGTGGAAAGAAAATAGTTCCTGTATGACCTTGTTTTGAGCAGTTTCATTTTGGAACTACTTTCTTTTTACCAAACTACACCCACCAACTGTATAACTGTGCAGAAGGAAGAGTGCATCTACTGCCAGCTCACCTAGCATATCTAAGCTAGCTAAAGTTACAGGTTAGTCAAGGGGGACGCCATTAATCGAGTCGAGTCTCTTGTCCATGAGTAGATGCATGCTTCCTTCTGCTCAGTGATATGATTAGCAGATGTAGTTCAGGAGAAAGAAAATAGTTCCTACATGAAGCTGCTCACAATAAGGTCTGTGGATTTTTTTGAGTGAACGGTCATGATTTATAGAAATAGACGGTGTAAACTTTTTCAAATATATTTTTGGCGCTTTGAGCACCACAAGCTGAGTGCCATCTAGTTCCATTTTATTCGAGAGAAGGCAGACACCTCTATGGCTGATATCTCCCAACACTTGGCAACTCATACCAAAACAATTTCGACTGATAAATGGCACTACAGGTAAGAGGAAAACAAATTTTGATTTTGGGGTGAACTGTTGAGACCTTGGTTGAACCTGATCATGTTTAGAACCTGTTGGGGAAAGACTTAAACTTCCAACTCATGCCTACAAGAAACTTCACTGATTCTGAATGTCACTGAGATGCATACTGTAGGAACATCGTCAGGGTGCTGGCCAATGCCCTCTGCCCTCAAACAGGTGGTGTGGCATAAATTATAGCTTGGAATTTGAATTCCACAAACAGCACACCGGCCTCTTCCTGCCTAGAAGTAGTTGTGAACAAACACAGTAATACCGTGTAGGTTATTCAGTACTCCACACCAGTTTGTGACTCATACATCAGAGAATAAAAAACCAACAGTAGCTCAGCAGCTTCTGTGTTTGCAGTCATATTCCTCTTCATTCCTCTCCGTGTAGGTTTTCTGCACTGTTGTTGTGTGAAATATCACTTCAAACTTTTCTCTGCCCGTAGTCGCAGCCTCCCATTAATCCTCCAACCAGGCTGACCTTGAATACTAAATTTCCCCATGATCAAATCACTGACCTGCTGGGTTTCATCGCCGTCTTTAAGATGCTTGTCACTGGCTCATCTACCCGAAATTATTTTCTCATTTCACTCTAAATCCTTTTGTCACGACAATAGGGTACGGACTCCTTTGAGTGCGGTTCAAGCGAGGTCATGTTATTATCCATGTGAAGCACTTTAATACGGTTTTACTGAGCAAGCAGCCCGAGTTTGGCTTAGACAAACATCAAGAGTTTGGTCTCTGTAGGAGTTACTTCTCTTCTTGCAAAGCCATTGAATTAATTTGTCATCTCTCACAGGCCTGTTTCTCAACACTAATGGGCAACTTCAACAGGAAGACAAACATAGCCTCACTGTCTGTAGGGTTAAACAAACAAACAAACCTATTTATTCTGTTTTCTGTGAAACCACTGTCCTCAATCATTCTGTGCATTGACAGCTTTTTTCTGTCTAATATTTATTTGTGTTTCTTTTTTTCCAGTTAATTTTGCTTTAATTTCATGTTGCTTTTATATATTTATCTGCTCTGATAAATATTATTTTCCTGCATTTTTCTTTTCCTCCTTTGCATCGACTGGCATTTATTAATGTTTGGTCCTGTCTTCGGTTTGTCTTTTAATTTTTCTTCTTTCCTTATTTTTTTCTGTCTCCCTCCCTTTTGTCTGAACAGAACAATAAGGACAGAATGTTCCAGGTATTTATTTTCCTCCCTGATTAGTTTAATGTGTGAATTTGCAGCAAATCGCTAAAGCTTTCAAAGCCTGTAGTGGGTATTTTGTGCAAATTGAGAATCCATACTGTATGTGCACTGAATGAGATTGTGAACCACTATGCTCACTGTGCACCCCTCCATCCTTCTCGACTTCTTGTGATATCATATCTATGATATGACGTCTTTAATGTCTATACTGTAAGTGTTATAATCCTCTTAACTCTTTGCAGTTTTCGGGCTTCGTTATCAGAGTTTAACAGTGTTATGTATCAGCGGCTGCAGCAGTACAGATGACTCCACACTTCCATATGCTTTGATTAGACCGCAGTGGTTTTAATGTAACATGCTGCTATGTGCTGAGAAATGGCTCTTCAGGGATCCGTCTATAATTGGTTCTATGTTTGATCAGCGTTTATAGATGAAACATTGGCTACTCTTCAGAGACTTCATATCTGAACATTACATGTAAAGTACACTCCATGCTTTGTGTGGGTTATTTTTCAATTTTTCACTCTCCTTTTTTTTTCCTCTCTCCCTCCTCTCGGCCATTACCATGGCCTCTGCTCTCTTCGCTGGCTATCTAAGGTCAAGGTTCGTGACCTGGAGCAGAAATGCAGGTCACAGAGTGAACACTTCCACCAGCTGTCCAACGAGCTGCTGAATTTCCGTCTGCAACCAGATACTGTGGACATCCTTAAAATTAGTCCCAATTCCGCATCCCAGATCCCACTCTCATCAGAGAAGAAACTCTCACAAGTCATTGTTGGATTTGAGGACCAGACAGAGACAGGTGGGTCAGTGGTCTCAGCTCATAGTCGAACTTCGAACACACATTTTTTTACATCTTCTGCATTTCCTTATCATTATTATTTTTAATAATATTATTGTGGCAGTGTTTTTTATGGTGGTTTATTAAGTTTAATTCAGATTTCTTATTTTTACTTAATGCTTTATGAGTATGGTGCTGTCTTAAAGGGACAGTTCACCCCAAAATCAAAAATACATAGTTTTCCTCCTACCTGCAAAGCTGTTCATCAAACTAGATTTTTATGGTGTGAGTTGTAAAGTGTTGACGATATCAACCCCACAGATGTCTGCCTTCTCTCGAATATAATGCAACTAAATGGCACTCGGCTTGTGATGCTCAAAAGGCCAAAAAACTGCATTTGAAAAACTCAACAGCAATGTCTCTTTGCAGAAATCATGACCTGGTTACTTAAGATAATCCACAGACCTTGTTGTGAGCAGTGTCATGAAGAAACTATTTTCTCTCTACCAAACTACACCCGTTGCCGTTATAGTTTAATGGCACCAACCACCATCAGGGGAAACGCGGCAGGACAAGGACGAAAGTGCGACTGAGGTGGGCAGGAGGGGTGGTGGATGGGTCCAACAAACATCGACTTTCACCCGAGACAGTGGTGTTTGCATCCTGTGAGATTCTAAAGCCAAACCCTGTTCTTTTTTCCTAAACCCAACCACATGTGTTTGTTGTTGAATGAAAAGAGAAGTCAATTTGCATTGTTGTACTGACATAGTGCGTTTATTTTGAAAGAAACTGAACGTGAACCTCAAATTTCCTGTGAAAACAGAAGTGTATGTTGAAAGAAGACAATGCGTGTAACAGGCAGAACTTGACACGGTGTCCCAGAACGTCAATAACCAACGCACCCAGGGTACCTTTCACGTTGTATCTGGACATGGAACGTCCATGACCAAACATCGTTATGTGACAAGGTTGGAGTGAGAATTTGTTGTGTGCTTGTGACAGTGTGAGATGTTAACATTAATGACATTCTCCTTGCCTGAGCTGTAATGTTAGCTAGCTCAGTGGTGCTAGGTGAACGAGTAGTAGATGTACTCTTCCTCCAGCACGGTTTTATGGTTGATGGTGTCGTTTGGTAAAAAGAAAGTAGTTCCTACACGAAACTGCTCAAGACAAGGTCTGTGGATTATCTTGAGTAACCAGGTCATGATTTCTGGAAAGAGACATTGCTGCTTCAAATGTATTTTCTTGGTGATTTGAGCACCACAAGCCAAGTGCCATCTAGTTCCATTATATTTAAGAGAAGGCAGACGTCTCTACAGCTGATATCTCCAACACTTGGCAACTCACACTAAAACAATCTAAACTGATAAACAGCACTACAGGTAAGATGAAGAATATGTATATTTGATTTAGGGGTGAATTGTCCCTTTTTAAAGGGGAACTCCTCTGATTTTGTACAATTTACTCTGACTCGAACTGTCAGTGCTCTCTGACAGTGTTTATAGGAGTACAATGCTAAATCTATGGATAAAATGTTACTAAGACTATCAGGGTTAAATGGTCCAGTATTAGGGTGAGATACCCCCATTCAAAGATAAAAAAAATGAATGCACTCTGGTCACTCTAGATAAAAGCATCCACCATATTAGATGTGATCAAAAGGCTTATGATCAGAATGAAATGAGAGTCAGAGTGATCTAATCCCCAGACAGCTCACATAACAGCTGGATCAGCTCACTCCTGACCAGAGGTGGACACATTAATGATGATACTGCTTATTCGTGATCAATATCTAGCCTAATTGATCACAGGCCTGATGTATGACATGAACGTGGTTTAACACATTAGTATTCTAACGACACCTAGGACAACCTGCAGAGCCAGCAGATAGAGCCATATCAGAGATGTAGATTTATACGGTCTGGCACAGACCAGAGGTCTTTGAAGTGCTGGAAATCCTGTTTTATCTTTCTCTCCACTTGAAACAGAGGAGGGGGGGGGGACTCACTGATGCTTTAGTGCTAATGCATAATATTACTCACTCACAAACCACAAGAACCCACTGATACAGTGGACCCATGTTGTTGACTTACTTTAATTTCCTCAAGGAATTCAGCAGTTCACACTCTTAGACTGCAGTTTTCTGTTTTGTATTTCCTGCGTTTTTCAAGTGTGTTTTTCTCCTCGAGGACCTCGGTGGTATTTAAAGGCAAACGCGTTGCAGATGTGAGGTGTTGATGGAGGTGGAGTAGCCTTTGCCATGCAGAGTGTTTGCCGTACACTCGCCTCAACAGGAGATCAATAGCTGTTCAATGAGGAGCAAATGGGTGCAGAAGGAATGACAGTTGCTCTTTATTTGCTATGGAAATCAATGTCTCCCAGGCGATGAGAGCGCGGCAAACACGCCGCTACTGATCTCCCAGTTCTTGCCCTGCACACCACAGACTGGAGACAGAGAAAGACCAGAACTGCTGTCTGTCAAATCCAGCACTGTGACAACGGACCGCCCAAACAGCCCTCGACAGCGGACCCCCTCAGAGGTAACACAACACCATCGCATTAATGCATGTAGAACTTGTCGCCTTCAAGATAGTTTAAGTTTCTCCTGGTTAATTTGACATGATTTACTTTGCTTTTTTTCAGTTGTAGCATGTAAATGTGAATGACATTTATTTTTGGTTGTCAATCTAAAGATGGAGGATGAGACCAGCCCATCACCCAGGTCCAAGCCTCGCTACACAGGCCAGGTCCGCCTTTGCACTGCCCGATACAGGTGAATGAGATCAGCTTCAGGAGTCTGTTGACTTTATTACACATGCTCTTTTTAAGATCATTAAATAACTGCTTCCTCATTTACAAATGAATGTTTCTCTTTTCAGTTACAACCCTTACGATGGACCAAACGAGCACCCTGAAGCAGAGCTCCCCCTCGTGGCCGGAAAGTATCTGTACGTGTATGGAAACATGGATGACGACGGCTTCTATGAAGGTGAGAAGTAGAACAAGACTCTCGGATGACGTGGTGGGAAACAATCGTCAGCACTAACTGGCAAGTCAAGCTCAGGCAGGCACTTAAATGACAAATGTCTAAAGAAAAATCTGCAGTCTGGAGATCAAAGATTACAGTACAGCAGGAGGTGTCGTTTGTTGCTTTTCAAGTCTGTGATTTTTGCCTGAGTCCCTGTCTGCTGCTGTAGCAGAGAATGCTTGACAGTCACAACAAGCGTGTGCATCATCGCGTATTAATTATCTCACAGTGAGACAAAATGCCAAGACGTGTGTGTCAGCTCACAGTTATCCCCCAGTGACTTTGTTCTATTTACAGTATTCTAGTTGGCATCTTAATCCCCTCGACATCCTTTTAAAATGGCCGTGTCAAATACAATAATGTGCATATGTCAAATACAGCAATGTGCACATGTCAAATACAATACTGTGGATATATACATAGCTGTCCTTGATGCATTTTGTCACTCCACAGTATATATTGTTTACTTTATATTTAATGTGAGAAACCTATTACATCATAAAAAAGACTGGAATACATTTTTAACACAGCTACACCGTCATTCTGCATAAGCCATATCCCTGCTGGTTATTTTCACCTTGCAACCTGACCTCCTCTGTGTCAGTGCAGTGTATTTGTATTTGACTCATGTTGCCATAATTTTCAAGACTGTTCTCTTTGAGACATCAAATAATTTAGCTTTGTTTTTTCACGACTAATCCACATTCAGTTTGGGCACAGATGATTGTGCCCTATTTCTTGTCAAGTATTGCTTTGAAAGCACACTTATTAAGTTGCAAGATCAAACTTGTGCTGGCCGATGTACCGAATATAACAGTGTACTGTTGTTAGGTTCATGAATGATGTGAACTCTGTGTGTACTGTCATGCTGTGAGCCCCGAGAGGAGATGTATTCAATGGGCAATTCAATGTAAAACACCCAAACTAGATATTCCAAGAGGTGCCAAACTCCTACGGTATGTCGTGATGCAGTTGTTCGATCATACTGCCCAGCACCACAGTAACTACCCCTGGTGACCTGCTACGCTTTGACCTTAGGGTCCCTTCTTTTGATTAGTGTTACTTACTTATTTACTCATTTATGTATTTATTTTTGTTGTGTTTTTGTTTAAATGATAGTGTTTTTCTATTTACTTATTCACATTTAAATTATAAGAAAATTACCAAAAACAAAAAAAACTCATCCAGCTTACATTCAACCTTTTATGACCAGTCGCGCCCCCAGAAGTTTTTCATAGGGGTGGCCAGATGGGGCAACTGAAAATCTTGGTGTGGCACGCTAAAACCAAAAGCCATAAGTGAATTTCAGAAATTCTGTTATGCTGTTGAAGTACATAGGCAAGTTGAAAATTATGTCAATATGAGCGTTAAGGAATCACATACATCACATTGTGTTCTTGTTTTATAGTTATTATTTTTATTTATCTCTCCATAGACTAATAGCAGTAGAGTTAACATTTGAGTCCCACAATATCTTTTTTAAGGTGTTATGTATCCGTACATATTAGGCGATTCATCGTTCTTAACATAGGGTGGTTGTCCTTTTACTTAAAAAGACAAATATACAGCTTTAATTTGAAGGAGCACATAAATTGTCAGGAATATTTACTGGGAACAAGCCTTCTAAAATTTAGGGGAGACTCGCTGGTACCCACAGAACCCACTGTCCTTCAGATATCTTGAGGTAAGAGTTAAATGAACCCCTTTGAAAATGGCCATGCAAGTTGTTCCCTCGCCAAAATTTACCCTAAATTTGGAGCATTATTTAGCCCACTTCCTGACTAGCTATGCTGACATGGTTGGTACCAATTGATACCTTAGATTGTCTAGTTTCAAAATATACCTTTGCTTGAAAGCAGAAAAAAAACAGCCCAGCAGAGCATCTTAAAGACAGTAATATAGGCCTCTAATTATTTTTGCCAGGGAGGCCAGCAGTTGAATCAGGTTGGCCGCCCCTTGGGAGCACCACTAGTTATGACCCACCTTTGTTAAAGTGTTTATAATTGATTATTAGTCACTTTAAAGTTCGGCATTTTCCCCCTTCAGCTACTTGTATACAAGTATAGTGTGTGTCAGTGCACCAGTGTCACCAAGAAAAAAATCCTGTACACTTTTTCTAACGGGTGATTGGAGTGATTCTCCGTCTAATCTCTTTAGAATTATGAAGGCTTCTCCATCAGAGGCAATCCTAATCCCCCTGACTAGCAATCCTGCAGACAGCGCAGCCCACTACAGACACAGTAGTACTCAGCTGCAGTGATTCATTAGCTGTGGGCGGTGAGATTGCATAGCATCGTGGAGGAGCCTTGTATTTACCACGCAGGAGGGAGACTCGGGCTTCAGACCAAGCTGTTGTCAAGATGGGACCTTGGTCCCTTTTAGCTTGATGACTAATCCAGTGGCTTAATCATCAGCACACACAAACACACACACTCGCTCACACACAAACACGAAGACACACACACACAGATGGTCTAAAGGTCTCCCCAGCCTCTGTGGAAAAAGGGATTGAAGGACAAGATGATAGGGAGCTTTTCTGAAGACAAACTTCTTCCCTTTGGGAAAAAAACTTTCTTCCCTGCATTGACCGCAGCTTCTACTTGCTCAGGGGTGTTCCTGGAAATGCTCGAAAGTAGTGAACTAAAGTTCAAGTTCTTCGAAATGTTTTCTCTTTTCTGTGTTTACTGGCGAGACTATAAAAGATAGCATCAGAGGAGCCGTGGTAAATCTTACATCTTAGGGAATAGGACATACTGTATGTTTACATATCTACCACCTCTCACTCACTGACTCATTTCCACCCTGCATGGAAAGTAGCGCCAGCTGATGATTAAGTGTATTCAAGTTGCAGCTTTTCTTTTTCTCTTTGTCTTGTAAGGTGCTTAATTTTAACATTTACATGAGCCATCACAGAGTGACTGTTGCAGGTTCCTGTAGGGACAGTTCTTAAAGAATAGCATTCTCAGGTGGTTAGCCCTATTTATCTCCGACACCTGTCTCTCTGTGTCTTTCTGTGTCCCAGGGGAGCTGCTGGACGGCCAGCGAGGACTTGTTCCTTCCAACTTTGTGGAATTTGTCCAGGACAAGGAAAAACTAGCGATTCAGTCTGGGGAGGGCGGGGAAGACCTGGGCCCACTGGACCATATGCCTCTGGCCTTGACAGCTGTGGATGGAGGTGCCTCCCAGGATGGCCTCCTGGGCTCATGTAACGCCTTGGTTCCCTGTAGCAATGGGACAGGAGGGCCCCTGGACCCCGAGGACCTGGCTGAAGACGTCGTGCCTTATCCCCGAAAGATCAACTTGATCAAGCAGCTGGCACGGAGCGTCATCGTGGCCTGGGAGCCTCCACTAGTGCCTTTGGGCTGGGGGAACATCTCTGGCTACAATGTGTTAATAGACGGGGAGCTCCGTGCCAGCATACCGTACGGTGGCCGGACCAAGTGCTTGCTGGAGAAGCTGGACCTGGACGGCTGCGTGCACCGTGTGTCAGTGCAGAGCGTCACCGACCGGGGCTTGTCAGACGAGCTGCGTTGCACCTTGCTGGTGGGGGCCAACGTCGTGGTGGCGCCCTGCGGCCTCCGGGTGGACGACATCCAGCGCGACACTGCCGAGCTCTCCTGGTTGCCTAGCAACAGTAACTATGGCCACACTGTGTTCTTGGACGGGGCAGAGCACGCAGTGGTGAAGCCGGGAAGGTATAGACTGCGCTTCATCAACCTGAAGCCCCTGACGGTGTACAAAGTGACGGTGGTGGCACAGCCGCACCAGGTGCCATGGCAACTGCCGCTGGAGCAGAGGGAGAGGAAGGAAGCCGGTGTGGAGTTCTGCACGCAGGCTGCAGGTCAGCAAAGCTCATTTCTACACACAGAGCTACAGCAAAAATGCTCAGCTCCATAGTAGATGATTGTCAGTTTCTTTAAATACTCTACATGTTTGAAACAATCTCGGAGACAGATGGAGACGACAGACTGCTACTACTCTGTTTATTTCAGTTTACTGTAACGCACCTTAAATATGTAACATCTATATATCACCTTTAAGCTTATTGTACTGTACTGCGGAGAGGTACAGTGCAGCATTGCCTTACCATGCCATTGTTGTGTATTGTATTTTGTCTAGGTCCAACACCATATTGCAGAGCAGGTCAGAATGAAACATCAGTCCTGGGCTGGGTTTCCAAAATGTCTGAGCACTAAATGATTTTCTTCTGTTGCAAACCAATGGGCAGAGATGACATTAGTGCTGTGATACTTTTGGAAGAGGGTTGTGGTCATGACACTGAGAATAATTATGACATATTGTTCAATATGAACAATTAATGAAGGTGATCTGGGCAAAATGGCATTTATTTAAATATATGTATATTTTTATCTCCAAAAATATTGTCATTTATGCATCTATTGAAATTTTAAATACACTTTAAAAAAGCAAACTCAAATGCACTTTTGCCCACGTTCGCCTCCTGTACTGAGCATATCACTAATTAGAGAACAGCCACGCATCACGGTATGACCAGTTATTATTGTGATGAGTCATTTCCTCAGCCTATAGCCTAGCCTGTAGTAACCAGCGCTATATAAAGCAGTGCCTCGCCACTGCTCACTGAAATGACCATTTTGTATGAGTGCACATTTGCCTCTGCTTGAATGCAGTTGTGCATGTTTTATCCAGTGATCCAGGAGGAGTGGAAGACAAAGAATGGGCTGTAGTTAGTCTCTCTGGATTGTGTCCTGCATGCGGAGACAGCAGCGCTTCTCTCAGGAGGCCCTGAAGGCCACATTGTTTGATTCTACCTTTCCCTGCATTGTTTCTCCTCACATAAAGCGCAGTATGAGGTTATGATACAGTACTAAACCAGGAGAACACACACACTGAATCAATTTGATTTTCCAGAAATACTGCAACACTATGGAGTATCTCAGGTCGCAGCACACAATGACTTTTAAATGTCCCCCACCAGCAATGTCACATTTTCACAAGCATGAGCCGTGTATCTCCACAAAGTATAAATAAGGTGTTACGTAATTCTCTCACATATTTAGATATGCAGGACAAGTTATGAATGAACCCAGTTTGTTGTTTCCCGATTCTTCACCACCGTCCTCACCCCCTCTCCTGTATGTGGGCATTTCTGTGCATGGTTGTGTGTGTGTGTGTCAACTTGTGCATTTGATGAATGCTTCACACCCTTTCCTCTAGTTTATATATCTATATTAGTGTCATTAAAACAGTAAATGATCACATGCATTTTCATATTTCCCCCCTTACACTTGTTGTCTCACCTCCCAGGCCCTCCTCAGCCTCCCCAAGATGTACAGGTGCTCTGTGGGCAGGCTCCAGGGGTGCTTCAGGTCCGCTGGAAGCCCCCCCTCCTCTCTCCAACAGGCACATCTAATGGGGCAAATGTCGTTGGCTACGCAGTCTGCACGAAAGGACAGAGGGTGAGTTAGTATGTGTGACTGTCCTCTGTTAAAAGGTATGGTGAGTGATGGTGAGAAGCTCATACTCTGTACACTATCATAGTTTGTGGAGAATTCTTGAGCATTATAAGATCCACATTTCAAAGGTCACATGCAGTGCATTGAAGCTGTATGTAAAACATTGTTTTGTTTAATCATATTTAATCCATCTGAAACATAAGAACATACATCACAGATGGGATGGTAATAGCCCCTGTTGTTAAGTTTAGCGTTATGTCATCGGTGCCCTCACCACAAACAGCAGTGCCACCTACTTGTCATTCATGTTTGGTGCAAGACTCTTAATCTGGGACCTCTTGGAAAGGTCTCTCACTCCCTCTGGTGACTGCCACGGTAAATCAACACAGTATTTTGAAACATTGACAGCACAGTGTTTCCTGCCTTATTGTGTGGCTCACATACTGATAGCAACATTGATGAATTGTGAGGGGTTTTGCTCCAAACAAAGAGAAAACTAATCATTTGTTTTATGCCTACCGTACACTGGAAGACTTTCAAGACAATGTGAGTATTTAGTCACACACTATAACATTTGCAAAGACCGGGAATCTTGCAGGTTCACTATATGAAAGACAACAACTAGATTCCATTTGAGATTATTTCCCA